AAATCTTTCCATTTACAAAAACTGCGTAAAATGAAGTCATATATAATATGAGTATGAATATTGTAAAAAATTAGCAATTAACGAAGCTTGAAATAGGTATTTACCAGCAGCATTGGAATCATTGACCGCAACACAGAAATCCTGAAGAGGGCTTGGATCAGAGGCATAGACTAATGAAGAAGCCAGACCCACAAGGGCAATGGCCAAAAGGAAGCAAATGGAATACTTCATCACTTGATTTGGATAAAGAAATATTCAAAAAAAAAAAAATGAATTTTTAATGAAATTAATGACTAATTTAGTCTGTGGGATTGTTGCTGATTTGATTCGAAACTGTAGGTTTTGATTGGGAAAAAAAGCCTATATATAGTTTAGTATCTTTGAATTTGTCATCAAGTTAATACTGTTAAAGCAGGTTGTTAAGCAATTTTATATTCAAGAGTGAACCTTTCTTAATAAATACTAAGTTTAATCTGAGAGGAAGTTGATGGAAATTTGTTTTGGTAGGTGGAAAATGAAAAATGTCTACTTTTTAGAACTTAACGGTAAATGTTCATAATGACATGTGAAAAGTCTAAGTTGCCTTCCTTTTTTTTTTTGGGCAGAATTGTTAACCTATATTATTGGGTAACTCATCTACGATGGAGGTAGGGATACTATCGTGCGATCAAGATTTGTTATACTGTGGAGGCAGATGTAGTGCACGCAGTGGTCTTACATAGCTTATGTGAGAAGTTATCACTACTCTTTAAAATCTCAAACTATAAACCATAAAGAATATCCATCCTCTTTGCATCACAAAATGCACTCTCACATCCAGTTGTAGTATTCTTCGTCTTGCACTTTTGCTGAACAAGACTCACTAATAGTGTCGTCCAAAATTGTAGCAATAGTTCTGTTAGAATTTGGGCATGACATGAATTCTTTGTTGAAAATAATTGGGAGTTCTAATTAAAGCCCACATTAAGAAGAATTTTATTTGGAATGCTATTGTGGAATCCTATTCAAGTTTAGTTGGCGAATTCTAGTTGAAGTTTTACTTGGTAGCCCAATTGAGAGTTAGAATTTGTATTGGATTTGAAGAAGAGTTTGAAATAAAGAAGAACATCTTTGAAAGGTATTTTGAGCAGAAACAAGGCGCCTAGGTGTCGGCAGTTGTTTATTGAAACAAGGAGCTGGCCCTTGGCGTCGGGGGTGGCACTGCAGCGCCCGAAGAGTGTCGCCGCGGCGCCGTTGTGTTGTCTGACTCCTATTCCATTTTGGACTCTGTTTTTGCATCCTACTTCAATTACAACTCTGCTATTAGGGTTTGGACATTCACTATTTGTTCTCTATATATAGCTGTCTCTTCTTTATGATTTAGAATAAGTTAGAAACATTCTAAACACAAATTTTTGTATTCTTTCTCCATATTATAATAAAATCTCCATTCTTTGCAAATTATTTTGTTCTTGTGATCAATTATTTCATATTTTGGCTATAATAGCTTATTTTCCTCAAAATGGTATTGGATTAATCCGGTATCATCCTCGTTTCACAATAAGTTCAATATTAAACCGCATGATTTTTTTTTCCGGAAAATTGCATTGCTATCAAGGAGTTGTTACTAGAAAAAAGACTGAGATTTATACAATTTCATTTCATTTTATTTTAAAATCGTCACTCATTTTTGTAACAAATTAGACGATGGAACTTTGTTTACGGATAAAATTGAAGCATCATGGATTCGTAACGGCGAACTTTAGTACGTTTGTTTAGCTT